AGAAATTTCAATCATCACACTACAGTTTATATTGAATCCTCCGCTTTTAATTAATAAAGGTCAAGTTTGTTTTAATATTTTGGACATGTAGTACTTTGAGTCTTTTTAAGCTCACATATATTTTTAAAGTGTACACAGACCCCACTTCTATCTCATAGAAATAAAGAGATTATTTTGAATAGACCTTTGACTTGTATAAACCATCTCAACTAAATATAAAGCACAATAAAAGGAAAAAAGATCCATGCCTAATTAAGTACTAAATTTTTTGCTTAAATTCAAGGTTTATATCAAATTATATCAATTTACTACCGTTAATTACAAAGGTAAGATGAAAAGTAATCTTTATTATTCGAATTGAGTAATTATTGTTTTTTCTACCACCTTTATTAAGGAAATTTTATTTTTTCAATTTGGGATCTATGATTGATATTTTGCTTTATGAATAAAATAACAATTAAAACAAATCATTAATGGAGTCCAACAATTTGTGAATTATATAAAGCAAAGTGAAATTGTATTTCCTCAAACATAAAAAGCATTTTTACATATTGATACTCAAAAGTTAAAAAGAAGATGGCAATGATCACATCAACTTTTTTCATTTTTCTATTTCTCATATTCCCAACAGGTGATTATTTACTTTTTAAAATTGTATTTCTAGCTTTTATTCTTTGTTTTTGTGATTTATATATTCCAATTGACAATTGTAGCAATGATTAATTCATATACTATATACAAATTGTTCTTTCTTTCTTTTAATTATTATTTATATACATAACTCATATCCACCCTTAGAATCTAGTGGAACATCAAAACTCAAAGGTTCGTGAATCTCATCGTATAAGGACATTTTTAATAGAGTCGCAGAGACATTTGTACTATTCTTTGAGCGACTACAAGACAATAGGAAAACTCATTGTACTCATTGTATATCTATTTTAATCATGTATAAACAACCCCTTGACCCTATCTGGCTCCCTTCACATCTCATTCAACAAAAAAAGAGAGAAAATAATGAAGTCAAATTACAAAAAATACAAACAAAGTGAATTATATGAAGTTTTCAAAAAGATTTCATGTTATATATGTGTGTGTAATGATCATGTATTTGGTATGTACATATATAGGAACATGTCTTGGAAAAAAAAATTGTGATCTTGACTAATATTCATCTATTTTTTTTAGATGGTTTTGAGATTCATTTTTGGAGGAATATTTGAAATTTCTACCAAAATCTTGTGTAGAGCTTGAGGTTTCGATAAAAAAGGCGAATGATCGGAGCCTTTAATCTGGAAAACTTGTTCTGGTTGATTTGAATCTATCATAACTTCTTGAAGAGATGCAGGAATTGCAAAATCATCTTGTGTTTTGACATAAAATCTTGGAATTGAACCATAATTTGATGAAGAAAGTGAAAGTTTCTCTGTTAATGGTCCAAATGGAACTTGTCTCATTGATACTGATGCTAATTCAACATCCTGAAAATTTCAAAAAAATGTTGTTACACTCGTGTCAGATCCTCCACGACATATATCTATTTACATTTTTAAAGAGTCTGAACAACATAGATAAACACGATCAATACCTTAGTAGGAGTTTGATTGAATAATACTTCCTTGATCAATGACTTGTCATAATCTATTGATGTTGGAGGTTGATCCTTCCCATTTGCATAACGAAAAATTTGAGCGCGTTGACATAAATTGTTCAATCCAAGCTACAAATTTAACAAATTCAATCTTCGTATAAGATTTTGTATCACTCATATAGTCCGTAGCAGAGCCAGAAATTCAAACCAGGAAAGTCAAAAAGTAACTTTTTTTTATTCAAAAACATGTATCTTTACTCTATTGACTATTTCCATAGTATACTTTTTCGACAAAGGGGTTCAGTTAGACCCCCTTGTACCCCCTCTGCCTCCGCCCCTGCATACAACGTATTAAATCATGCATAACTAATTATAATCTCCGTACCTGTACAGAGAACATATCGAGTGTACTCTGTCCACTCTTCAACATTGCTGCAGCAACGAAAATTGCTGCAGACACTTTTGAAGGATACAATTCCATTACATAAGAAATGCAAGCTCCACCTATATCATGTCCGACTAATATAACCTGCATCGGAAAAAAAAATCAAAATTTTTTTACATCGAATTTGTAAGTATTTGCTAGTGAATTCATGATATTAGTACCTTTTTATCATCGTCGAATTTCTCAAGGAAATCAGTGAGGGGTTTTACATATTGTGAGAGAGTAGAAATGTTATTGGAATCAAAAAAATGTGCACCAGAACCAGTTAAGTCTATTGCATCAACATGATATCCAGATTCTTTGAGAAGTGTTGTAGTTTTGTACCAACACCAAGCACCAAATCCACCTCCATGTACTAGAACAAAGTGTTTATGATTCAAATCTTCAACATTTGTAGTACCCTACAAAAAAAAAGGATCAAAACATGTTATTATATTGTTCATAACAGAGTTACCTGAGATTTATTGCTGATCAGATAGAACAATTACTTAGGTATTAAAATTTGCATAACTTTATACATTGTTTGGTTTCAAAAATGGGGGAAAACAATCTTTGCGTACAATCTAACATAAGTTATACCATGTTTGGTTGGTTTTTTCTCCTTTCCGCATAAGGCATAACATTGCTTATACAATATTTGGTTTACGTTTTTCTTTTCTACGTATTAAATACATGTATAAGTTATATGGAAATCTATGTATTATTTCAAGTAAAGTACAATATAACATGAATAACTAACTCGTGCATAACTAAATTATGTATTACTAGTACCGGCATATTAACTCTACTCAACAACCAAACGAATCCTAAATGATAATTAATTGCTGAAAGAATACAAATTTTCGAAAATAACAAATTTTTGGCTCAAAACAATACAAAGGACAAAAGATTTTTATATTTATCAATTATTGTAAAAGTTTTGAGTTTTGACTACGTACCTATATTTTATAACAAAACGACAATTAAGAAAATTAATTGAAACAAAACAAAATTGATTACTTAGAAACCAGAAAATTGATTAATAATGTTCTGACTTACCCTTCAAAAGTTACTCGAACTCTAAATCTGATGCTTAACCACTTAAATAAATTTTATTGTCGATTACTTTAATGTGACCAAAAAAAATAGTTTTGTGACTTCAGACCCCATTTGATGGGAAAAAAATTAGTTTATATTTTCTCGTGTTATCGTGGATAAAGTTCAGTTACATAAATTACCAATAATTTGAAGCAAATAGTATAGAAAGAGAAACCTGATGAAGAAGTGAATCAGACATTGATCTAGCACGTCGAGAACTTGAACTTCTTGGCATAATATTATTATTATAATTTCTCTTTTGCTTCCTTGAAGAACAATTTAAAGGATCTCTAAGAGAAACGGAACGTTCAAATTGACTGAACGTTCCGTTTTGATGATGATGTTGCAGCAACAAAGTTGCTGCAACTTGAGCTTGTTCTCGAATATAATCATGATCAATTATTCTAGAAGAACTCGGATAGATTATTCTATCCGATTTTCGACTAGTTGATCTGGAGATACATGGAGGAGGAGGAATATGACGACCATTAGATGATGATGATCTTCTAGTACTAGGAATATTATTTTTGTTGAATTTTTTCCTAATTTTTGTAGTTTGATTTTTCTTAGAAAAACATGCTAATGAATTTCCCATTTTTTGTTAGCATGTGAATGAGAAAGAAAAAATTGTGAACATGAATGTTCATAATATGTGTTTTGTTAGAAGAAATGGAAAGTTGTTAAAGAAAGTGAAATTTTCAACAATTTGTGGAGTCAATGAGAAAATTGATAAAAAAAAATGGTCAATCATGTTTGGGGGTAAGTACAAATAGTCCCTTAAGTATGTACTCTGAACAATTTTGATCCTTTAAGTTTGTCAGATGTGAACACCTTTAATTTCCGTCAAATACTTAAAGAACTTTGTCCGTTAGATTTGATGGGAAGTTTGATTAAAAATGGATGTAGTGCACACAAATTCAAATTTAGCAATATAAATTTTGAAGTTTATTGGTATTTTTTGTTTATTTCTAGAGTTAAAGGTACAACTTTAGTCGATCTTTTATGTTGTAATTTCTAAAATTTGATGCGATCTTCCTAGTGCTTTTGGTTAAAAAGAAATTCTCATTAGTTCGTTTTGAGTTCATTAAATATTACGATTTAGAGATCAAAAGTGTTCGCTTTTAGTAAATTTAAAGAACAACTATTCAAACAATACTTGAGGGACTACTATAAACATGTCCCAAATATAAGGGACCATTTTGATCATTTCTGAAATAAATAGAAACTTTGGTTTTTGGAAAGTAGTGTGGAAGAGAAAAAAATATATATATTCATATCATGCAGTAGTACAATTTTGACCTTTGAATTTGAAAAAAATTATAATGTTTTGCATTATGGTTCAACACCTACACATCACTACTTTGGAATCTAGTGGAATATTTCTTACATCTTTTTTTAAAAAAGCACCTACTTGGACCAATAGAATGATTATATTATCACCATAGAATATAATATATTCAATATTTTGAGAAATATATTAAAAATAAAATCTACATTTATATATAGCATAGTAATAAATATCACTTTTTATGAACAACTATTTGTAATTATTACTTAGGTGATTAATAGTGTAAAAATTTTAGTGTTGTTAAGTATACATAAGTTAAACTCGTTAGTGAAATGTTGTTTTAAAAATACACAAAATATTATAGAAAATGAATAATAGGTTATGATGTATTAAAATTATTGGAAAAGACAAAATACTCCTTTGAGAATTGTTTTCCTTCATTTTATTATAAAAATAAAAAGTTGTTAAAAGTTGCTACTTTAGTATATTTTGGTGATTGACTTCCACTAAAGGCAACTTTTTGGTCTACCTTTGATGTTCACATTTCTAATTAAAAAAACAAAAATTAAAAAAATAACAAAGAAAAGAGGTTTTGAGTAAAAAAAAAAAATACAGAAACAAAAAAAAAAGATACAATCTTTACATTTTGCATATTGCTATTTTTCTAATGAATGACCTTGGTGTCAAGCCAGTTTGAGCACAACTCGACTAATTTCATCTTATACTTGCTAACTTCCACCAATACAGATGTCGAGTAATTTTGCCCAATCAAGACTTGACAGATGAGAAGAAATCACCGAATGTTGTTTACCTTGGCTAGGATTTGAGTCACTCTTATGAATTAGAATCAGTGTATCTGAAACCTACTAGCCCAACTAATCCGAATCACGAGGGGAAAAGCACTCTCTACCTGAAAAGATCAATGATACATGATCCCTCTACATCAATCAAAGTGGAGAGTCTACTAAAGATTATGTAAGAGGACTGTACCGATTATAGAGTAGCATTCTTCTCCTTTATATCGTCGTTCAACACTGGAGACAGTGGATAGAGCTCGTCCCGAGTTGAAACTTAAACAGTTTCAACACCATACCTGTCAAGATAAAAAGTGTGCTTACATCTATGCATTCAACAATTTCAATCCTGTTTTGGGCACGTTTGGACAACGTCAACCCAGAGAGAAGCAAAAATCATATAGTAACAAATGATTTCACAATGTATAAACGAGGAACACTCATATGGAATGCCATAGATGGATCTCATCAGGTTGTTGGAACTGAGAAATTGGTAAAACCAAAGTAGGCACACATTTAGTCTTGCACGGCATACAAGTGAGGAGCCAGCTCAACTAGGCACAAGTAATCGATTCTAGAAACATTACGGACATAATGATGGACTAGTTCATTAAAACTATACACACTGGCTTGGTGCGGAACAAGACAGAAGAAGTGTATATTTGGACTATCAAACCACTTAATGTGACCCTGCCAGTACAGATTAACTTTGTTATTGCAAAGTTGCGTCGAAATAAAAATCCTATCAAATATTTACCCGTATTCACCGTCAGGCTGCTTCATAGCTAGTTTAAGGAAAAACGAGGCAGCAAGGCATCTACGGAGGAGAAGTGTGTCATCTTCACAGGAAGTGACACGAAGACCCATTTTTTCAACATTCCTCAGAATTTGACAAGCACGGACATAAGAATATAACATACTTGGACAATCAGTGCAAATGAGAAGAAGCAAATTCGTCGTATAACAGTGAAATATGACAAGCACGGACATAAGAATATAACATTTTATCAAAAGAACTGTGGAAGTGGAAAAAATCATATAGCAGAATAGATTTTCAATAATTTTTCCTTGAAGTTGAAGTACATATGCCCACCTGTGGATATTACAAGCATGTTTTAGAGAGTGACTGCCCTCTCTTCACTATTTATCATCTTGTTCTTCGGAAACCAAGTATTAGATACAGATCCAAGAAATATAAATCTTCAAATCATAAGTACATCCCCGTAATTATTCTTAGCTTATACTACATATGCACTATGCTTATGTAAAAGTGGATTACCAATTAAAGCATATTAAAGTCACATGAAGTGAAGTGCATAAACCTTGTTATCCAGCATTTGTTTCAATTGAGTTATGTATGTATTTCGGCAAGTGGATTATCCCTTTAGAACTGCGACTCGATATTGAGTTTTCAGACAAATAGATGTAAGATGATATCAAGTTCAAATTATTTAATTTTTTTCCAAATGAGGATATTAACCTCAATTCTTAAATTATCTACTGAACAATTCAATAAAAGAAGTTCATTTAAGTAATATTTTCACACAGCTACCTAATTGCACCCCTGGATATAGACAAAGCAGTGAATGCATCCATCTCAAACTTCAAAAGATAAACCATTCAAAGAAACAAATCAACCTTACGATATCCTGCGGGTGAAGGGATGAAAACCTTCATTTGCTTCTGAGAGGGAAGTGATGAGAATATGGGAAATCAATAGCTTGTACGAAATACATGCACGTATATTTATGCAAACTTGGTCAATCCATGGGTACAAACCCTCCTTCAATTCATCCACATAGCTGCGTAGCCTTTTACAAGCTATACCTTCTCCTCTAGCACACTTGTTTCTATACAATCCTTAGACCCCCGAGTGTTACAGTCTCCATTCTCGAGAATGGAGACTATAACACGGGGATTTAAGGATTGGTATAAAAACAAGTATCCTCCAGTAGAAGGCAATAGCTTGTAAACTGCTACACGACTATGTTGATGAGTTGAAGGAGGTATATACCCCGGATGGAGCAAGTTTGCACAAATATATAAGCATGTCATTCACACTTTCACCAGTCCAGGATCAATAACATTCTTAATTCCAGGTATAGTAACCGATATCTCGAAAATATGTGTGTCCAGTATCACCTAAACACCACATGAATGAACTAAAATCTGGTTTCAAATGGGCATAGCTTGCAGACTCAGAAAAAATACCAAAACTTTTCAGCCTTGAATTTTTTTGTCAAAACATACCAGAGAAACTGGATAAAGAACTTCTCGACATTATCATTGAACACAGCAAAACAATAAACAGATGCACATTCATAAAACAGAACAGCCAATACTAAAAAGGGGTTCAAATTCATCACTAAAATTATACCTGCAGCATTTGGTCAAATCTTTTCTCTGTTGCTCAATCTTTTGCTTCCTGCAAAATTTTACAAACACAAAACAAAAAAAGATCAAATCTTTTGAACAAAAACCCTTCATTCATAGTTACACCCCCCCACCCACCCACTCATCACCAAAGGAAGCATTTTTAGCTTTTTACACACACAAAACAAAAAAAAAGATCAAATCTTTGAACAAAAATCCCTCATTCATAGTTACACCCTCACACCCATCCATCACCAAAGGAAGCATTTTTAGCTTCTGGGACTGAACCAACAAGAAATTAAAGTAAATCAAACATGTGGGGTATGCTTTAAACTAAGAACCTGACAAAGAATCCCCTTTTCTTGAAAAATTATTAGCAACCATAGAAGGACATGTTTGAAGATTTGTTCCAACACCTTTAGCCAGCAAAAGGTGGAAACCAAACTGTTTACACTATTTTGAACAACTCTGTAGATGAAGATCTCTTGAATTCATGAAAAGCCTTGTATAAATGTGATCTAGAAAGTCCCAAATCTTTATTATTATTATTTTACTATTTTTCCAAAAAAAGAAAATTTTAAATGTGATCTAGAAAGTCCATAAATTACTTGACAAATAGAAACATGTCATTAGTAAAAAGTTGTGCTAAAAAGAGATAATTGAAAATGAGAAATCAACAGCTTGTACGATATACATTCAATTCATCCACATACGTAAGTAACATTTTACAATCTATAGCCTCTTCTTTAGAACATTTATTTTTATATCAATCAAAAAAGCCCCAAATGTTACAATCTCTGCTCTGGAGACGAAAACCTAATCTAATTTTTCGTCTTTCAGAATAGAGACAACAACGCTTGGGGATTTCAGGATTGATATAAAACAAGTGTTCTGGGAGAAAAGGTTATAAACTCGTAAAATACTATACAACTATGTTGATAAGTTGAAGGAGGGCTTCGGACCAGGTTTGCACAAATATAGAGTTGGATCCATAAAAATCCCTATATATATAGGCCTCAAGGCTTTTTTGCACAAAAAAGGAAAAAAAATAATAGTGATTTCTGAAAGAAAAAAATCTATTAGCATTTTTCCAAAAAGGTTGGATTTTCTTATAAGAAGTGATTAAATTTAATTTAGAAATTACATAAATTACTTGACAAATAAAAATATATCATTACTAAAGTTTTTTCCTAAAATGAGACAACTTTGACCAGATTTCACCAAGTATGATTACTAAATTATAAAAAGAGACAATTGACTAGATTTCACCAAGTATGACAACTAAATTATAACATGTGTATGAGCTTAATTAGATACACAAAAAATGCAAGTGTATATAACTATAGGCCCCAAGGCTTTTTTGCACAAAAAAGGGGGGAAAAATCTATTAGTATTTTTCCAAAAAGGTTTGATTTTCTTATAAAAAGTTATTAAATTTAATTTAGAAATATCATAAATTACTTGACAAATAAAAATATATCATTACTAAAGTTTTTTTCTAAAACGAGACAACTTTGACCAGATTTCACCAAGTATGACTACTAAATTATATAAAGAGACAATTGACTAGATTTCACCAAGTATGGCAACTAAATTATAACATCCGTATGAGCTTAATTAGATACATACAAAATGCAAGTATAACTAAAATGAGCTATGAATTTAATAATAATTTTATATGAAATGATGCAATAGGAATACTTAGTAGGTATGTTGTAGTAATGCAACGGCTAATGGTGAATAGTGCTACTATAATTGGAGTTGAAAAAACTAATTTTGTTAGATTAAGACCTTTCTTGAACAACTTAGCATTTAAATGCTTTAATTTAGTGATAGTAACACAATTATTTTGAAGTTCACTATCTTTAATATTAGGAAAAAAAAACATCATTTTACCCCCTTTCCCATGCATATGAGCTTAATTAGATATACACAGTAAAAAATGCAAGCATAATTATGATGAACTATAAGTATAGTAACAATATAAAAATTATTTTAAATCCTAATTTCAACTTTATGGAGTATTTATGTGTATTCGATATATATGAGTTTATTGTTGCTTCATATGACTTCCGCACAAACGATGTAATAGAAACTTTAGAGTTGGTGATGAAAACTTTTCTACTAATACAATTAGAGTTGACGCTATTAGAGTAAGAGTTTTGTTATGTACAATTAAAAGCATTCAAACGCTTTAATTTAGTGGTACTAGCACAATTATTTTGAAGTTTGTGGAAAGATTAAAAAGTTACTATTTTTTTTTCTTCAATTGATGAATTAGGGTAAGATTAATTCCAACTCTTTCGTTAGCTAGCTTATATATTTCCTTTGAATTAATATATGAGATTCCTCATTTGATAACATCATATAGTTTTTCTTTAATGACTATTTTTCTTTGATCAGTCTGTACTAGCTCGATATAGGTTTCGAACTTCCACCCTTTTACCCAGTTTTGAACGATGTGCCACTAATAAATTGCAGTCAAACCTAGTTTCTAACTTTAAAGAATGAAATAATTACACCTTAAAATGATGATACAAATATATTACTGTACAAAATTACTTCCTAGTAATATATACATATTACAATTTTTGTCACGTAACCAATATAGGTTGCCATAAGATGATTGAAATCCCTCCGATTTCAATTAAAGAGTTCGGATTCGAGTCCCCGAGAACAGAAAAAAAAACGCTAGAAGGAGGGGTCGAACCTCCGACCTTGTGGTTAACAGCCACACGCTCTAACCAACTGAGCTATTCCAGCTTTTGTTTATTATTGATGCATTTTAAATATACAAATTAATTTTACTATCTCAACTTACAAACAATTCTTAAATACTTATTTTAATATTATAAATATTGTGGTCTCAAGCTTTTTAATGTATATATGTTTTTGAAATAAATTTTAAAGGCAGTGTAGTTCGACTGTATAACATTCAAAAAAATAAGTGTGAACTGTGAACACATGAAACTATTTTTAGGAGAAATCACTTTGTAATGTCATCGCAATCATGTCAGATAATAGTTGTCATCGCAACGTATCACTTTAAAAATATGTCATCGCAATCGAATTAGATAGTAGTAGTTGCAATCACTATGTAACATGGAAATATCAAATATGTATACAAAACCAATAATTTCAACACCAAATATGTAAAATACTGTTAATATGAGTTGGAAGCATTCATTTGTTGCAACTAAGGAACATATATCCAAAGTACTACTCAAAAAATGTTATACACAACCAAATTTGTCTTCAATTTTTTATTTTTTTTTTATAAAGAAATCCGTCTGTGACCCACCCTTTGGACCAATCTCAATCTTCTAAACTCGGTGGATAATGGGCCCGCCCCTCTACCCTTCTCCACTTAAATACCGGGCTTCGCTTTGCATGGTGTGGGCTTGAACCTGCGACCTTAGCCACAAATCCTCCACCTTTTGCCACTCGAGCTAGGCCTTGGCAATAACAGTAACGTAGTTTGATGCTACGTACTTGTTAGTTCCCTCGTCGATGTTTCAGTAGACATCAGAAAGTATCTCACACCAATGTACATTGCAATACTAATGACAGTGATAGTAACAGGACCAGCGAAAACTAACAAGTTTTTGGTTTGCTTGTTGTCGCGTTTACTGGAGATGGATTCAAATGAGTGAGCAGACCTCTCGGATCGATTGTTCATGAAGGAAGAATAGGAAGCAACCTCTTCTTTGGTAAGTGCTGGCTTGAGTGACTTTTTGACTGTTTGGAAGTGTCGATCAGATACAACTGTTGCAGATATGTTCTCTCTCAAAGCAACTATTCCAGCTTCTCTGCATAGTCCTTCAAGCTCGGCTCCAGTAAAGAGTTCTGTGTCTTCTGCAATTTGTCTCAGATTAACATTGTTATTCAATTTCATATCTCGTGTATGAACACTAAGAACCTCGAATCGAGCTTCCAAGTCAGGAGGGGGAACATAAAGAACCTGCAAGCAGAGCAAATTGAATAAGATATGACTATTAACGAGTACAACGATTGTTTCTTAAGAGTAACATTCGTGTTGAGATGCTAAGTTACACTAAGAGTTTCTTACGAGATCAAATCTTCCTGGTCGCATCAGTGCAGCATCAATTGCGTGGGGGCGATTTGTGGCAGCCAAAACAAGAATTCCCTGACAAAGCAACGATTAGAAAACACAGGAACCACAATCTATATCTGATCAAAATGATCCATTATTTGCATTCAGTGCTTAAAAAACTGTAACACATTTACTGCTCACTTTAGCCTGCTCTAAGCCATCCATTTCGGTTAGGAGGGTGGATAACAATCTCTCTCCAACTGTACTGCTTCCACTTGAGCTTCCTCCTCTGTCATTTAAGGAAAAATCGTATCAGGGCTTTGCATAAACAACAAGAATTGAGGAAGATATACTTAAACTCACAAGACAATGCTAAGCTAAATAAACTTACCGTTTGGTTGCAACTACATCAGCCTCATCAAAGAATATTATACTTGGTGCTGCAAGGCGAGCTCTTCGGAAAGCATTGCGCAATAAAGCTTCACCCTCACCAACATACATAGAGTACAGCTCTGCACCACTGTTCCATGATTATGAATTTCAGGAAACTGAATAATTAGTATTTGCAATTTTTAGTCAAATCGAATGCATGAGGTAATAATTAGTCAATACATTACATACTCAGTTATTGAAAACAAGCTAATAAAGATGGTTAACATCATAGTAAATACCAATCTGATGCCTTAGGCTCCAAAGGGACATAAACCCCAGCATACATTAGAGATTTAGGTAGAGCGTAATAAATGACAGTCATTTCAAACTAACTTAACATGTTTTTGGTTTTCCCGAAACTGTGATATAAGTTAGAATTTAACATGTTTTAGGTTTTCCAGGAACTGTCGTGTAAGTTGGCAAAGGCTGATGGAGACAAGAATCACTCACTTGTTGCTAAGCAATGCATGAAACAATTATTAAACAATAATGATAAGCTTACTAGATGCGTAAAAACGAAATGCTTAAATAAGAATAATAATTGACAATAAAGAAGATAGAAAAGGTTAAAAAGCAATGGATAAGTGCAACTGTGCAAGCACCACAAGTGTATAACCAGCTATTGGATTATTTTAACTTTCTTTTTGGTGACAGTGGTTTCTGGGCCAGCTTGTGTGCACCTTGGCTATTTCATAAGATACCTACTATTTCTCATCAACACAGGTACCGGTAATTCTGTCCACCAAGGTAGATAGATGAAAATCACTTAATTTGTTTGCCTCACTGAGATTTGAACCTAAGACCTCATCGTTCTCCTCCCACTTCATTGACCACTAGGCCGATATCCTTTGGTGCTCATTTTGATTTATCAGTGCATGCATATGTTTCCTTCTTCTAATAGAAGCATTTATATCTAAAAACCATCATTACTAATGAAAGTTATCATTTATCAGTCCTTCGTAGTTCTTTTGCATCAAGAGATAGCAGGAAACAAAGAATCAAACAGCAGATAAAAGTTTTTATCATGCCAAGGGTAGAAGAGACCAG